ATATATATATATATATATATTGTTTATTTTTAATGACAATGATCAATATACTTTAAAGGTTTGTTCATCTAATATTTTTTCTATTTAATAATATATTATTTTATCCTTTTAATTTTAATTTTAGTTTTAAATAATTTTTATTTCTTTAATACATATTTATGTCTATTAAATGTTTCAAATATTTGAATAAAGTTTAATACACGCCATTCTTAAATGTTTCAAATATTTATATATTACAAACCATACTAAAGTTTAATACATGTCATGCTTATTATGATGTGCATAAAAACTTTATAACTAAATTAAAGAGTTCAATGAAACATTTTAGATTGGTAATGATTAATTAGGTAAACTCACGGGATGTTTGAGAGTATGTTTTTCAATCAACTCATTGATTTTTTTTAAAAACAAACACTTTTGGATTCTTAAAAAAGTTATTTTTTTGTCTAAATAGTTAGTATTTATCAATTTATTTTTATTTATTTATTGTTTTAAATTATTGACTTTTTAAAAACCAATAAGTTAATAAATCGTTTCTTAAGTTAACCATTAAAAATATTATATAATTAAATATCAAACTTAATAGAATAATAAGATGACAATAACTTTAAATCATAACATAAACTTGTGTTAGAAATGCTCTTTATCTTTTTGCTTAAAGCCAAAGATTAATAGTTGTTTATTGTTTAAACACTAAAACATGTTTTCTTTAATTCGTACATTTTAAACCAAAACGAATGTATACATAAATCAAATCTCTGATCCATTTTCAACCAAATTGGTTTAGATAAAATAAACTTCAGGTTCCACTCTTTTTAACATTTTTTATTTCAATTTAATTCAAGCCTTCAAGGGCCAAGTTCGATTCTATCCAATTTTAAAACCAATAAAAATTTGATAATGAAAAACACATCCATCCAAAGTTCCACACATGACACACCCCAAGTTCCCAACTATGATAGGCCCAGACCATATAACTCATATGAAGCCCATAAAACCCAGATAATCCTCTAAAACCCTAGTTTCTATTTCAAATACCCTAAATCACATTCACATACTCAATCCTATAAAGCAGCATCGCCCTCTTCCTTTCCTACATCAACTTCTCTTTACATCTCATATTAAGTTATTAACGCAGCAGCTATTTTCATATTTTCCATCTATTTGTCAAGCAGATTTGATTATTTTCTTTGAAATTTTTGATTTTGTGCGTTGATGAAGCAATTTGTGGACTAGAGTTTCTGATCTTGGGCTCTTCTTCCCATTCAGTTTGACGACAAACCCTTGGCTGTCTGAGCACACAAAAATCCATTGATTTGTTTCAATTTATACAAGTTTTTACTCAGAATTCAATTTTTTATTTTCAAATCTGATTGGAGCTTATGATGATACTTTTAATTATCTTAGCGGATTTCAGTGAGATTTAATATAACATTAAATCAATGAATCTGATTGTTACACACACTGAGGCTCATAATTGTTTTTGATAGAATATTTAATATTAATGGCGATGATGAGGCAAAACACCATCGGTGTAATTAGGGCAGTGGACAAGGCGATTAACGTTGTCTTGCCGTGATCCCAATTTTTAACGACTTCTCCTTCCACTGAGCTATTCCAACCATCTTATGTTTCAATATGGATATTTCAAATTTTTACAGATTTTAGGCAAATTCATTCTATTCACATGAAGTTCTTTAAACACTTGTGAATTTGCGTAGATATTGAATCGTGTTGTAATTGCGTCCGTTTACCAATTCTGGAGGATTGATTTGTTCCTCACGGTGTAATGGCTTGGACGCCAGATGAATTTTGTGGTGATCCTGATAAATGGTCTTTCAATGCCATTATATCCTGGAAACGCTTCATACATTTTTCAAATTTTCTACAGATCGATTAAAATATAAGTCCAGTGATAATCGTTTGTTTTTTATAAATCGGTATGGCTGTTTTGAATGCTTATTTGGTTTATATTCTGCATAGATACCAAAGTACCGTTTTTTAGTTTTTTTTTCATTGATGTAGATTGGTCGTTTTCTTTATATTACGATAATGTGTTTATTTTCCCCTTTTGTTAGTTTTTTTTTCACAAGTGTTTATTATCAAACTTGCCTTTTGTTTACGCTAGATGACATTCTATCAGAGCTCGTGATGAAACACGACTCATGTCTTGTAGAAAATAGTCAGAAAAATGCTAACTTTTATTTGAATTTGAATGTATAAGTCGGTGAAGCATGCACGCGTATTATAAATACCAATTACAGTCGGTGAAGCATGCACGCGTATTATAAATACCAATTACAATGAACCTGGTCCATCTGTCATTTCCTTTAAAGTTTATATGGGATTTTTTTTAGACGAAAGTACAAATGTTTGTTTAAGTGTTTACAGCAAGTATGCAAAATAGTTCAAATGGGTTAATTTTCTTTTTCCCTGTGCTTTTTGTTAAAAAAAAACAAAAATCCTCACGATTAAATGTCATGTTAAATAAATCTTTTATTTTTTTCCTTTGATCATAGATAGACATCAAACATATTATCTTTTATTTTTTTTCCTTTGATCTTAAATAAATGTGATGTTAAATTCGGATAACATAGACAAACATCGCGTAATTGAACTTTTTTCGGTAAGCTCATTTCCTTGAAACTTCTCCTTCAATATATACTCAGAGACTTCAAAATTAAGTTCACAGATTAAACGCTTTTAAAATATATAGATATATTAAAGTTGCGTGCATTTAAATATACACAGCTACACTACACTTGTCATTACAGAATAACTCTTCGCATAAAATATATCTTCAAAACTAAGAAACTCTACAACTAAAATACAAATTACATACCAAAATACACAACGACCTCTATTTTGGTACGATGGATGCAAAGGTGTAAGAGGGTGGTGACAAATGAAGAGGAGCAATGCAGAGGAATGGAGCATTGTTTGTAAGATGCGCAAAGCTAAAGAGCTGAGAGAGAAAACATGTTTCGGCTAAGCAAATTAGGAATTATGCCTTTTTTTTACTAAGATGCCTTATTAAAAAGCAATTAAACACTGTCGATTCAAAATTGCTGACTTAATACCTTTTAAAAAAAGGCAGCTGTAAATCTATAAGATTCAAAATGTTTATTTGCCATAATAACGCATTTTAATAGAAAAAATTATAAAAACTAATTTCCATAATTACTTTGTAGAAAGTAGTAAAAAAATTCAACTTTATAAAAGCAATCATTAAAATAGCAGATGGAAGCACATCTGCGATTTCCCATTTGATCTGTAAAAACATTGATTCCTATTCTCTCTCGAATCTAAAACAAATGTGAAAGACATTTATTCTGATGAAGACAAGAATGTTGATGAAAAAGGTTTGAGAGTGAATTCAGATGATGAAGTTAGGGCTAACTATTAAAACAGTAATGTCAAGAGGTTATACAAAAAGCCTCTGTAAGGTAAACTTCAAAGGAAACACGTTC